TATGATTCTCGAGTAGATGGCTTATATTAAGGTACATAAGTAAGACATCGTTTCATAAAAAATAACTTAAGAGCGTGAGTAAACAATTCAGCTTGGAAGAAAAGGAGCAAAATGTTGCTTCCAATTTAGCTTGGAAGGAAACTAATATTCTCTTGTTGGCAAGAGAATTTTAGTATATATTCTCTTGCTGTTTGTAATTTATGCGTTCGTCTTGGTTTTTGCGGTAACCAGAAAACATTGAACTTCTTACATCGTTGCATAAGACCTGGAGTGGGGCATTCACAGCCTTCTCTACAGCAGTTATCAAACCTTCTAAATCGGCCTAAGATCTGATTCAAATTTTCCCTTCAAGCTGCTAATACTGAACGGTAGAATCTTTTAACAGCTAACTCACTGATCTACTCCCAGAAATTTATTCATGCTTGATGATATATTTATTTATCCATGTATAATGATATAGTGATCTACAGAATGATATATTATAAGGAGAAGTGACATATCAGTCTCGTCTTGAAGTCAAAGGTTGCCGAAGAACCATTACGTACCCATATTCAGTTCTAAAATAAAAAGATACGGGACAGGGTTGACTCAAGGGTATAATTGGTATGGAGACTCCGGGTAATGAGCTCCTGTATTTACTGATTTGTAAAAACTTAATTTCAAAATACAACCATTTTTGTCAGGCTTAGTTCACAGTGGGTGATTTGATTTAAAAAGCTTGTTTCCTTTATTAAACAGAGAAACGAGAACTCGTGGAAAAATGAATCAAAGTTCTAGGAACCAGCGTTTCGCTCATCAGCAACCTGTTGGCCAAGTCCCTGCAGGTCAATTGCAGCCCATGTTTGTCGCGGCCCAGGCCCCTCCTAGACAGTATGCTCAACAACCAGTTGGACAGGTTCAACAGGTCCAACTGGTTCAGCCCGCAGCAGCACAGGACGCGACAGTGCCAAAGACTACCGATTATTGGAATAGTGCTTTGATTGCAGAAAGAGTGGTTGAGTTTGTGAGTTGTTGTTCCTTTTTCCACAAATTGTTGTCAGAATAAGCTGCCACATTTTTAGAAGAAAGATTGCTTATTGAGCTAGGCTGCGACAGCTTTTTTTGATTTTGAAGAAAATGCAAGCTTAGTGCTCTGAAGCATAACGATACATATTTGCGAACAATCTTTAAATTGAACACCAAAAGCCCAGTAAGCCACCTGGCAACGGGAAAAACCCACGTTTTGATTCACTGTTATGACACCTCTAATACAGTTTATTTTTTGTTTGTAGCTTTTCCTGTCAGCTGCCTGGATATCGATTGTTAGATATTCCAGCCTGAGCGGAAGCGATGCACTGACATCGCTTGGTTCATATTACGTATATTCCAGTGATATACATGCAGTCGGGAGAGTGAATTTTTTTAAGGGAATTACAGTGTTCTGCTGGATCGTGTCCATTGTGTTTCAAATTGGGTTTGTTTTTGGCTTCAACCATATCAAGCGTCTCTTTTCACGACCGTCACACTTGACAATTGTCGTAAGTTTATCGTTGGTGAAAATATATATTTTACATTTGAGACCAGTTAACAGACTTCCATGGCTGTGGAAGAGTTTCGCGATAATCGACAGCTCGGGAGTATTGATACTTTTCTAGAATAAAATGACACCCTACTAATGGTTCATCAGATTTTCCTTAAGTGTTTGTATGCAAAGCCATGAATAGGAATGCAGGGTGAAGTAGAAATCCCATTTTCCAGCCTAGGTTTTTCTCAAATCAAAATTTGCAGCCTAATTTCTGTCAAAATCTTTCTCCAATTGCATTTTTTGTGCATACTTTCCTGGGACTCAAGTCAAATTTATTTTCATTAAAAAACCAAAGCAAATCCTCGTTCGTCATTTACCACTTCAGGCCTCTCTGCGCACGGACATGAATTTAGGGAGCCACGTCACTAAAAGGAGCCAAATCACATTTTGCGTGCATCTTGAAAGATTTATCCTAAATCTTTGTGTGTTCGTCATTAATTATCATTTGCAATTCACTTTAATGTTCTCAACCCTTAAAAAATCTTGTTCCATACTGGTTTATTGTCGGCTTTTGCTTGACGAGCTATTATTAAACGATTTGAAAAAAAAAGCTGTTAAGACCTCCTTTCCCCTCTCCTCTCCTCCCCTCTCCTCCCCTCTCTGTCTTTCCCCCCAAAACTCTTCTAAAA